TCTTTTTCTGTTGTATAAGTATCATATCTCTAATGACTCAGATTGAATCATCACATATTTGTCTTTATATATACTTTTTATTGTTTCAATGCTTTGTTAAATATTTTTTTCTGTTTTCTTCACTTCAATATTTTATTTCGAGTTCTTTTTGTTTCTTTAAATTCTCTTCACTAAGATATCTGTCAATGGTCGCAAACAATGCGATTACATCATCTTAACAAAACATAAACTTCTTATTAGAAATTTGTTAATCTAAAGAAGACAAGATTTTCAGATTTTATCAGACATGAATCAATACCAAAATTAAAATTCTATAAAAGATTAATAATAGATGCAAATTATATTTTCTTTCATTCGATTGAAAGACATATTGATCATAATGAGTACGTTCTTTTTTGTATAACATTTAAATAGAGGTCTTCTATTACTTTTAGATAGTTCTGATCAAAAATTTTAACAGATATTATTTTAGTTTTCTATTAATCTTCATTTTATATACATGATCTTCTTTCATATGTGTATTTTTCACATGTTTCCGAGTCATTCTACTAAGAACATTGAATAATAATTTTTCAAATGATAAAAACTTATGTAATTGTTCATGAACAACTTTATTTATAAAACCTTTCAAATACATGTTTATAATGTTATTAAAATGAAATGAAATCATCAAAAAAATACACTAACAATGTAAATACATGTTGATCATGATCTTTTTTTGCAATATTAAAAATGATATATATTATATTCTATATAAATCAAAGAAGTTACTTTTTTTTATACTTTACTCCAATATGTTCATTTGTTTCAAAAAGAATAATATCAGATGTAAGAGATTTATTTTTCATTGCATTAAAGATTTTTTTTGCAGCATTATATTTTAGTTTATGATAATATTGAAAATGATTTATCATTGATGCTAATGCCATTTGTTTTTTTTGTACATGGTATATGCATTAATATAGATAATGATGATTGTGCACCAAATATATTTGTTGCATTTGTTAAAGGACAATCACTAAAAAATTCTTTATTCTAGAGAAAAATAAAAAAAAACTTTTGTTTTTCAACATTAACAACAAAAGAAAAAAAACAATTAAAAATAACTTACAAGAATAATTTCATTATCAGAAAATAATTTTATTTGATCCGATGATGATTGACTATTAACAATAGCATTTCTTAATCGAAGTGCACATTCAGGTAACATTCGATGATAATATTCTAAATGTCTAGTTAAATGTGATTTATTATATGTTGATCCATCACAATCAAAACGAATATTATGTTCAAGTGTAATACCAAATACATTTGGTTGAATTAATGGACATGAATAAGTTTTCAAAATATTACTTATCATAAAATTTGGCTCATTTATTATTTCAAAACTAAAAGACATAAAAGATTGAAATATTGAAAAGAAGAAAATTTCTTTTTATTTTTCTTTGATAGACTACTTTGTAATTGATTTATTTTTGTTCTCTTGTTTTTCAAATGAAGAATTTTTTATTTGAATTGAATATGATTTTATTTGTTCAAGATCATGTTGACTAATATAACATTCATTTTCTTGTTTAGATTTTACTAATTTATGTTGTTTATCTTTTAATAAAACATTGGCAGCTTCAGCAAATGCAAGTCGTTTTCGAATATCTTCTTGATCTTCATCATACATACGATTAATACGTTCAATTTCATATTGACGACGTTGAATAATCTAATTATTTTGTTTAATTTTTCAAAATAAAATAAAATAAAATAAAAATCAAAACTCATACTATTTCAGATTTCACTCGTTAGATCTATAGGAATTGATCAAAGGAATCCACTAAGTAATAGTAGTACTGATACAATTTGATGAGTAAATGAAGATTTCAAGTTTGAATGTTTGATAAATCTTTAGAGAATTAAGCAGTTCGAACACTTATAAAAAAAGACATATACTTTTTTGTGTAATGGTTTTGTCTACATAATAACTGTTGTGGGTTTATTGAATAAAAGTGAATTGACAACAAGTAATTTAGACTGATTTTTTACAATATTTTATCAAGGAAGATAGAATACATGTAGGAAAAGAAAGAAAAATAGGAGAGCATAAGTGAAAACTGAGAGAGATATTCCCACCTGCTGTCAAGCAAACCAAAAAGAGTTTTGAGCTAAATTACGAAAAATGGCGCGGAATTATCAGTTTCACGTACATCAATGCAACAAAACATCTTCAGATAGAAATCGCAAATCGATGTTATATTTCGGCAATATGTAAACAGCTTCGAGACTAACATATTTGTGTAGTAAGACAAGCGGGTTAGATCTTTTATTGCAGTTATAGTTCATCGACTGAACTTCGACTCATATCAAAGTACTTTCAAAAAATTTTCAAATTTTTTGGTTTTCTGTTACTACGAACAGTGAAGCGCACATGATGTCAAATGGCCCAGCAATAGTTTGCTGATGATTATCGTTCGGTTTCAATCTGATGGGTAATTTTAGAATTTTTCGTGCATAGTAGAAATGTGAGTTTTATCAATGGATATCGCGTATTAATATTTTCTCATTGATCAACTGTTCGTTCGCGTACGCATCAACCCATCTTTTTAGTTCGTAATTTTCGTTATGAAATTATCTAATTCTAGTCTTAAAACTCAATTAAACATCCATCGAAAATCATCAATTATTATTTTGCACTCACTTGTGTCTCAGCGAAATTCGTTTCTTGCTTCAGAATACATGTTGATTTATCTAGATGATCGAGTAAATCCGTAAAATCACGTAAAAATATATCACCATGATCAATTAAATGTATCAAACAAAGATTTTGCATACAATGGTTTATACATGAAGAAAATATATCAAACGAACAACTTGGATGTTGACATGTCATTATTATACAATATCTGAAGAGAAATTATATGTTTCTATAATACAACATAGGTTTAATAACAGAAAAAAAAATCATATAACAAGTATCAACTGAAACAAATCTTTGTCTTTATTCTTGATATTCTTATTTTTTATATTCAAAAAAAAAGCAATGAAGATCAACTAATTCTTTTTAATCAGTTCTTTAATTTGTGATGGTCGAAGACGATGAACATTTTGTAAGTGTACTGGTAAGGATTTTTCAATGAGAAGACTTGAACATGGTGTAGAACGAATTCCACTTCTTCGTGGCGTGTTATGTAATGGACATGATACTTTATCATAAATTATAGTTATTTTTGTATTCGATGGAAATATTTTTGTTTGTATTGGATCTAAATTAAGTCTAATGGCTTTGAGTAATTCTTTTGCATAATGACTCGTAAGATGATGATAATTACAAAAATGTTCAAATAAATGTAGAACTTTTTTATTCGGAGAACATAAGCGTACATTATGTGATGACAATAAACCATACATATTTAAACTTATCAATGGACATTGTGTACATGACACTTCTGTTTGTTGTAAATTAATTCTATTTTCTTCTTTATCTAAATTAAAAATATGAGCAAGTATTGAACATAAAAGCAAAAATAACTCGCATCATCTTCATTACGAACATTCTTCCTTAATTGAAAGAAAAAATGCCTGCTTTATCGAAATAGAACGAAAATAGATATAGTAAGAAGATCAATATAGATAACTTGATTTAAGAGTGAATATTACATCCTTTGAGCTAGTCTTGTGGCACATGTCACGTGTCGTCCATGGTTTTTTTTTAATATGTGTTTTGGACGAAAGTATTTGAAGTAATACGGATGAAGTAAAATAAAAAAAACAGAAGATGTGGTGTGGATCTGTATGCGATGATGACGGTGAGAAACGAAAAAAACTTACATCCTGACTCTATTTAATTGTTTGATTGATGACTTTTTTTCTGTATTTTTCCACTTAATAAATTTTTTTGTTGCTTTTACAGTGTAGTCACTTTTTACTTCTATTTCTTCTATTTCACTTTGCGGAAATTTTTCTTCAAGTGATAAAAACAGTGTGCGCAGTCAAGATGAAATCAAACAAATAAATTAATAAACCTTTTAAAGAATTTTTATATTGATTTATTTCTTTTGATAATGTATCGATTTGTTGAAAATCATTTTGTTTTAATGAAATCTCATTAGTTTTTATTTGAACTAAATGTTTAGATATTTTATTATGTTGTTCTTGAAATTTATTGATCGTAATTAATGGTAGTTCAATTATATTTATTTGTTTTTCATGAGTTTGTTTAAGATAATCAAGTTGTTTATGTTGTTCTACAGTAAAAATTTGTTTTCTGGTTTCCATCAACTTTGATAATTCATCTGTTGGATTAATTAAGTCTTGAAGTAGTTCTTCAAATTCGGTTAGAAGTGATTTTCGATGTTCATTTATATGTTCTTCACAGAGAGACCAATGACAATGGTTCGTACATATAGAATGAATAGGATAGAAGCAATTCGGATGTTGACATGACATCTAGAATTCAAAATTTTTCTTAGAAAAAATTACGAAATAGAGATTTCATGAAATGAAAACAAAAATCTTTTATTATAGTTTGTTCGGTATTACGATTGTCTATGAAAATGATGATCGGTCGTCTGAAATAAACAATAAGAAAAACAAATTATAATTAGTTATTTGATTATTGAATTTGTTCAAGAGAATTTGAAATAAATAGTTTACAATCAAATTAGACCATTTATTATCTTATGAAACGATACCTCGGATTATTGACAGTACGTTTTATGATGAGAATAGGAAAAGCAAAAAAAAATTTTTTGCCTCTGATGATCTTACTAAATGTGGATTCAAAATGGTTTTGCGTATTCCTGTTTGCTAGTAGTGATTCGAATTATATACTCTTCCTTTTGTCAATATAAACTAAACAACGTAGCTTCATCTAAGAATAAACTTCTTAAAGTTTATTTTAGTCTTATCAAGATCTACTTGAAAGTAGACTATGGAATCGAACAGTATTTTACAGTTAGGAACAATTAATGTTGAAATAATATTGTTTCAAGAATTTTCAAAGTCGATTTGTACGGAAAGAGTATTGAACAATTTGATTGACTACGATATAATATACTTATGCATTTCGAGAAAAGATTAAATTTCCCTATGCTCTTTTAAACATTCTTGAAACCGTCATATTGGACGTGTTGAGAATCAGCTCCAACGATTTGAAACAAAACAAAAATGTCGATTGTTGGTTTTAGTACTTTATGTAACGTAGGAATCGGAAGAGCGACTCTTTCATACAAATTAGATTCACCCTTCTCGAAAGTATCTATCGACTACATTGAAGTTCTAAATGGTTCTTTCGGAAGACAAAAACTCTATAATATTCTGTCAGATTTCTCCATTTATGATAGATTTAGCTTAGAAAAGATCAAACTAAATCATAATCCGTTTCAACAATAATGAAATCTAACAAAATTTCATGATCTGATTGCGATTTTATGAACAAGACTCGGCATCGTAGCTATCTATGAACGTTTTTCATATTAATATATACAATAAAATAACGATGTTATTTTATTATAAAGCATTCGATTTTGGCTCTACTTTTTTAAAAAAAATACTAACCAAATTACAATAATAATTTATGTACATTGAGTTCTTCTTGTTGTTCTATATAAATTCATTTTCATTAAAAGCATGTTCCGTTATATCATCTTTTTTTTGAATTGTTTCTAGCATTTTATTACATGTCTTTAATGTCAAATGATGAACTTGTAATAAATGTTTTTTTAATGAACGCTTAAACAATGGTCTTCTACAATTAATAGATTCCATTTTACTTAATGGACATCGAATAAGATGATAATGTTGATCAATAATATCTGTTTCAGATTGAAAAATACATGTTGTTAAAGGATTTAATTTA